GGAGTAGTGCTTTAAAAAATCCGCCTAGGGCAGACGAAACGCCATACCTTTACAATCAGCATCTAGTGGCGCTTTATTAATTTTTTAATTTTTTTAAAATCTTTTATTTGACTTTAATTTCAATTTTTTAAATGATTTTATCTTTACAAAAGTAAAAAATGAAAATACGTTAGAAAATCTCAAGTAGAATATGTATAGTTGGAAGTTAAAACTATAAAAAATAGTCTAGTTTTTTTATTCCGAAAACTTGAAAATTGTATAATTAACTAATTGTAAAAATTATTAAGTAAATGTAGTATTTTATAATTTTAGATGTTTGGTATGTATTTTAATTATTAAATAATCTTTGAATGATTAAAAATTCTAAATAAATATAAAACTAGGAAAACATTTGTTTTATTTTATTTTATTTTATTTTTTATAAAAAAAATCTATGCCTCGCCTAGACTTGTAAAATTTGAAATTTGGTCTCCACACCTACACAATTTACACTTTTTAAAACACTAGTTAGGCAGTGATATATTACTATAGAAATATTTGTTATATAAAAGATAAATTTCATTTCGATTAAATATAAAATGCATAAATAACATTTATGTTAAACTTTAAACATCGACTTAAGTTTTATCTTTTAAGTGGAACCTCAAAAGTTTGTGATTATGTGGAGGTGAATTTTTGAAAAGTGGGTTTTTTTTTTAAAAAAACATGAATTAAAAAGTAGAAAAACATTATAGAAAAACATGAAAATATTATTATTATAATTTAATTATAATTTTTCCATTTTTAATTATAATTTAAGCGTTGCCAAACATGCACTATGTAGTTAGAGGGATGAAATATGATTTTTTTTATATATGTTGAAAATCTCAAAATGTCCTAATCACAATTAGAATATATGTTTATGCAAATTTATCACAATTGTTATCAAAATCCTAATTCATACAGATACAAGAAAATTAATATGAGTATTTATTAATGTAAATTTGACACAATCATTATCTTATATTGAAAGGGAAAGATGTATGCTAAAAGCAACAATATTAAATCAAATGTTTTTTTAATTAATTACGTAAATGGAGCAAATAGCGAATATGGATTTACTTGGTGAAAACAAAGGAAAAATCACATACATCTTTCGCTTTCAGTAAGAAGGTATATTTATTATTTCACAATTCTTTATTAGATAAAAATGTATGGAAATGATGATTTGCACAATCAAATGTGTAATTAAAGGTGAAAATGTAAAAATAAAAATAAAAATAAATAAAAGGTATGAACGTTTATCGCTATAACGTTGAAAGATGGGAACATTATGTACTAATTACCCTTTTAGTAATTTATTTGTGTTTTTTTAAAAAAATATGGGACTGTGAGTGCAATTATTTTTTTTTCTTTTTGTTTTATTTAGAGAGTGTGGTATATTTGTCATTTCATAATTTTTAATTGAAAAAATAGGTGAAATGACCTTTTACGCAATGAAAGGTGAAAATAAGGATGAAAATGCAAAAAATGAAAGAGACTGACGTTTTCCACAACATCCCCACTACATGTACAATCATTAGTGGCTTACAACTTTTACAACACCGCACATTAGGGCGGGGCCCACTACTTAATTAAGTAGTTGGCCACACCCTAATGTGTGGTGTTGTAAAATTAAGTAGTGGGCCACACCCTAATGTGTAGTGTTGTAAAAGTACCAACACCACTAATGATTGTACAAGTGGATTTTTTCTTGCCACAATAACAATAAAAAGTGGAGACGTTATGTGCTAATTACCCCAGTTTCCACTGTCAAACTGTTAAGAGTTCGTTTTGCAGATTTTCAGCTTCACTTGGACATAAATTACCTCTAATTCAAACACAAAGTATAACTTCCCCTAATCATCATCACTTGCCCCCCTTGTGCTTGAATTAATCACTGAATTTGTGGACTGGAATCAGTTGGACAATAAGGTTTCAATGCTGTCGAACGCATGCTTGAATCAACCTTGCTTCTATTATTGCCGCAGCACAAAACTAACACAATGCCTTGCTTCATCTCACTTGAATCTAGGCAATGCTTAGGCACCATGCACGCCTTCGACCATAGCATCGCATTGAAAAAGACATCCCCTGCCATTAACATTTTCATGGTTAGGGTCTAACAATATTACACTATATGCTAAGATGTATAAAAAAAATTAATTATATTGGTATTTTATTAAAATGTAGATTCTTATAATGTTATTGCCCTAGAATTTAATTAAGTTGAAAAAAAAAACACTCAAATTAAGTATTTGTTGGTCATAATTACTCATAAGAATGTGATTTAGCTGGTAACTACTTAATAATTGCTTTTCTGACCCCGTAATTGTTGATATTATAAAATATTAAAGTATGAGTCACTAGTTGTAAAAATATTGTTTTAGATAAGTGTCTGTTTAATAAGATTTTAAAAAAGTCAAAAAATACTTTTGGGATTTTCGCTGGTAATGCTGTATGTTCCTCAAATACTCCATCGAAAGTGATTCCTTACCCAGATTTGAAACCTAAAGATCATTCATTCTAAGTTGAAGCCTAAAGATCATTCATTCCTTTCTTTACCACGATCATTTGCAAGGAAGGGGAAGATGGTCGATCACACTTAGATATTGCAACCTATAAAAAATATATTTTAATGTCTTTATGATGTTTTCATTGTTTTTTCCCCCATAATAGCCTTTTTAGGTGTGATGATCTTGATTGTTTTGAACTTGAATTATCTTTAATGGAAGTTTGTTGTCTCCTACTCTCTATTTTTCAACTTGTGCATATCCCCGTTAATCCAACACTATGGTCGTTTATGTGTTGCTTTTGAGAACTTACACACCCGTTGTTGTGTGCGCTTCAATTACATGAAATCTTTTACTTTGTGCTTCGGAATTTAAGAAACTTGTGCTAGTTAAGCACTAATAACATGTATATGTTTGAAGCATCACAAGACGTGTTGTAAAATTTGCATCGAATGTTCCAGGTTGTTGAAAACCTACTGGTTGTGATGTATCTAAAAGCTGGTCCGATGTGTTTTCATTTAATACACATACATCAACACGAAAAGGATATGCTATAATTCTGGGATCCTTACATTTCAACTCCATGTAGAAAGAAGTGAGCTATCATTTGTTATCCCTATTGGTGACATTTCAACATCAACAACGTACTCTATTTTGAGACACATACCCATACTATCGACCCTCAATTCAGCAGTTATTATGTCCATGATTTCAACATATCTACCACCAACAGGAACAAGTAGTCCAAATGTATTTGTTCCCCGAATTACTAACACGTTAAATGAGTCCGTAAGTTGAGCAATCATTCATAGTATGCATCGAACATTATCATACAATTAAAAGCAATAGAAAATTTCATCATAGTGCAATTCTAACATTTTTCACAACAATTTTTCTTGAAGGGAAATTGTTAATGTTATCAACATTCTGTTTTCCAACCATGCATATAGAATACACAAGTGAAACGAATGGCTCAGGTTCATGATATCAACTATTCTTACACCAAATCGTGTTTATCTATTCTCGCCCAGAAATCTGTTATTGATCGAGGAAGATAACACATGTTCTTCACAAATTATTAGGGTCCGTCTGATGCGCAAATGTGGAAAGAAATTCTAATTACATGTTAGTCGGAAAATAAAAACTCACTAAATCCATATAAATTCGTTATCCATGAAAACAAAGAAAATGTAATTTAAACTGATTGTGCCTTGGAATTCGATTTCAATTTCCACGTTACAATCAAACGGCCAAAATGAAATATTTTTATTTTTATTCCTCAATCAATATTTCTAGATAAATTATATGGTATTCCCTTTTTTTTTATAGCGAACTAAAAGGTCTGTATAAAATGATTTAAGCCGATTTTCTTGTAATTTATTTTCGACTGATATCACATTCACATTTTGGCCTCGTCTACATGATTTTAATTGTTACTAGACTATGGACATCACGTCACTATTCAAGATTGATACACTATATGGACAATTAACTTTTTAATTTTCAATTTTGAAAAAAAAAATTAATTCATTTAATCTAATTTTTTATTTATCAGAAATATTTATGCCAACGGTAAAATTCATTTCTTTATTTTTTCTGCGAATTCTTGAAGTGAAACTTCTGGAAATAATCAATATCACGAAATGAATTTTTTTTTTTTCTGAAAATAAGAAAAATATTAAAATCCAATAAATTGTAGTATTTATCCAACTATATCCTGACAGTTGTTAACAAATTTCAGGGCCCACTATAATTGGACCACCTTGTACACAATTGATTACGATATTGTAAATTAAAAAATGGATTGGATTTTGAATTTAATATGAAAGTAATTTAATTTACCATCATGTTTTTATCATAATAATAAATAAAATTCTTCTTTACTTATTTATTATTTTAAATATGATTTAAAATTAAATTATAAAAAATAAGAGTTGAGACGATAATTATGTTCACTATTCGGATTGAGTAATGTTAGTCATGGCTAGTAGGGATGAAAATACAGTCTATGTAATTTTAAATGATAGGTTAAATAAAATGTGAAATTAAATGACTTATTTAATTTCACATATCATTTCATATCACATCGATGCTACATAGACTGTATTTTTATTTTCAGTGGGGATGAATAGCATTACTCATTCGGATTACAACGTAAGTTGGTACGAGTCAAGATTTTGGAGTTTATCAAGAAAAGATAAATGTTTTGAAATTTACCCATGGGCCCATTTTGGCTAGGGAATCTAACTTACCTAAGCCTTGGAGGGATGTCCATTTCCAATTTCCACCACCCATTTAGCCACCCTCCCAAGGCGGAGCTCGCCCCAAAACCTCTATAAATAAGTCCCCAATGGTACCTTACATAGGCTTGAAGAAGAGCCCACTCCAAATCTCCTTCTCTTCTTCTTCTTCTTTACTAGAATCCCTTTTGGTATCTAATACTGGACGCAAAAGCAAAGATTTTTAAGCATGAACCTCGCCGTCAAACCCACCACCATTAAGTTTCTTTGCAGCTATGGCGGCCGGATTCTCCCCCGTTACCCCGATGGAAAACTCCGTTACCATGGTGGAGAAACCCGTGTTCTTTCCGTCGAACGATCCATTTCTTTTGCAGGTCAGTCCCTTCTCGTTTCTTTTTTAATTCTAATACATTTATAGTGTGCAGTCATGTCTAGTACTGTGAGTCGAGGTGACACTTTTGCATGTTACAGAGCTGCTGATGAAGCTGGGAGAGATGTGTGGAACATCAGTTGTGAATCTAAGATGTCAATTACCAACAGAAGATTTAGATGCTCTTGTATCAATCACTTCCGATGAGGATCTTGCCAATCTAATCGAAGAATATGAAAGAGTTGCACCGCCGGTGGCGGGGGCGGCGGCACCATCTCTGAAGATAAGAGCTTTTCTTTCAGCTCCGAAAACCACCAAAACAGTCTCACCACCACCCTCTACTACATCGCCCGAATCTTCTTATTCAGTCGCTGCAACCTTCATGCTACCTCCAAGGTACCCAAAAACAACTGGTGGCGGAGGCGGCGGCCGTTGCTTCCGTCACGTCCGCCGGCCACCGGTGTACGTGTACACACAACCTGCCGGAGAAATCACCGGAGAAACTCCACAGTATGCCTATATACACAGAAATTCTTGCAATGTTCGTCTCATCCACAGTGCAAGCCATTGGCAATAACAGCGAGAACACACAAGATCAAAACCCTTTGCAAGTTGGGATTTATACCCAGAAAACAAATACTTATATAAGCAGTATATATTCAAGAAGGCTAAAAATTTCCAGAAAAAATGAAGAAATTAAAAGGTATATTTTAATGTAATTTGGGACTGTAAATTTCTAAGGGGTTAAATTTTTGTTGATCCTGCATGAATTAAATGAAATTTCGAGTCCATTTCGTGTTTCCTTTTTCATGTTTCTATTTTCCGACAACGATGCCAAACAATTTTCCATTTCTTTAAGGTATTTCCATTATTAAATTGCTTATAATTATCAAAACAGTAGATGAGATATGCTTGTTGTTTTCTTTTATTTTTTACATATTTTTTTCAAAATGATTACTATTTTTCTAATATTTAGAACGTGTTTATTTATTAGACATTGTTTAAATATCACAATATTCTATTTTTAAATTTAAATTTTCATTTTCAAATTTGAATGTGGTTTGATTTATAAAAAAACTCGATATTTCGTCTATTTTATATGTCATATGATGATATGATTCTTTATATATCGTTTTGTTATATGTATGCTTAGTTATGTTACTAATTTGTCAAAATGGTTTTGATTGCAGGTATAGAAAGAAGAATTCAAGATTTATTTTTATTTCAGGAATTAAGATTGAGGTCGAGGAGGAAATTGATCATCGGTAAGTGAAAAAAATATGATTTATTTTTATTTCAGGAATTAAGATTGAGGTCGAGGAGGAAATTGATCGTCGGTAAGTGATCTTTCAATACTTTTAAAGAAAAAGAATTACACTAATCTTTTTTAGAATTTTTAGACTATAAAAAACAATTACATGAAAGGAAGAATTTCCAATCATAAATTTTGGAGATCGAAATTTTGATTCTTTTACAAAATTGGACTTGTTATTGTCTCTTTAAATTAATTATTTTTTTCGAAAATCGAGGAAATATTTATTGTCCCTATTTCATAATCTTCTATATTTTCACTAGATTTTGAACACTTCCACCATATTAAATAAAAAGTATTAACAAAGAGAGAGATGATTATACGTTACACAATAAGTGACAACACCTTTGAAATGTCATTTGGATGTTCATTAATACTATCCGATATGTGAACGCTCGGAACTTTAGTGAGGGATTTGCTTGAAGACGACGAAGTGATATTGCATCATTCGTATAAATTTAAAGCGTAAGCACTACATTCTCTATTAATTTGAATTGTCATATGTATTTTGACTTATTTACATTATCTATTCTAAAATTCTATCGTATGCATCAAAGTTATAAGAATCGGATTGGAGCAACGTCTCATGTTCGTCCTAATGTCGGTATATGTTACTCTCAATTTCAGGCCAGCTGAGGAATTGTTTGATTTATGAGCAGGTGACATGAACTACCAATGGAAAGCTGACTGCACATGACCAATAATGCCAAAAAACCCATTACAAATTTTCAAGAGAATTTCTTGGAATTATTGGACGTCGGCCAACTCATGACATCAATAAATTGAACTTATTTATGACCATCAATTCCTAATTATAGTTTTCTTGTCCCATATGGGCCATGACAGCTGGTATATTAATGCATGAACCAGCCAAATTATTTGGACAAATAAAAAAAGTTCCTTAATTATGAAGAAAATGAAAAATAAAATGGGACCCTTTTGCAAATAAAAGGTTCTCTAATTATGAAGAAAAGGAAAAATAAAATAAATGGGACCCTTTTGCCTTGGGATGAGGTTCAAAGATAAGACCCATGATTTGAGGCACCAAGAAAGGGTCACACTCATGGAAAAATGACATAAAAAAGAAGAAAATATAATTAAAATATGGACCGTGGCCTGACAGTGCAAATGTGAGGTGAGCGGGAAGGGAGGGAGGGGGGAGTGTTTAAACATTTGGAGGGGTTTTTTTAATGAGATGGATTCCGAGTGAGAGCTTTTGCTCTAACAGACCTGATAGAGCAGGTTAATCCTTAAAATATACCAAAAATAAAAATAAAGGAATAGGAGATAAAAAAGGAAAAAGCGTTTTATGATTTTCACGTTGCACCAATATCTTTTAATGATTTATTTTACACGAAAAGTAATTTGACTTTAGGGATGTTTGCATCAAGGCTGTCATTGAAGCTCCGTGTCTAATCCGTGTATTGCATTGTAGACTTGAGCCCCGTTTCACACGCATTTTTTAAAAATACATTTTTTCAAAATTTATTTTTAATTACACATTTTTTAATAAAATAATATTTTTTTTCCATCAATAACTTTTACTTACCATTTAACCGCATATTTTCCATCATATCAATATTTAAAATACATTATTTCGTCAATAATATCCATCAAACACCCTCTTAGACTACATTTGCTCCCAATTTTATTTTATTTCACTTTTTTTTAATATAAAAAATGAGTTTTGTAATAGTGATTTTCGGAGAATTTATGGTTAAAAAGTTTTCATTTCATTTCAAAACTCTTATCATGTAAAATTATTTTATTTGGAGAATGTGTGAATGAAAATAAGTGAGAAAAAAATGAATTTTTAGATAATGAGGCTCAAATAGGAGCTCATGCATAGACACACTTGTGACGGAAACATAAAATTGAGGAATATAAAGTAAAAAGAGTACGATTTTCATGATGTCTCAATATGTTGAATAGTATATGCTCTAGGGACTCAATAGTTTGATTTTGAATTTTAATTTGACATGAAAGATGTGGAATGTCTTTGTCAAGGATAGTTTCAAAGTTGCCCGTCCTATCCGTGTAGATGGGTATGGTACAACTTGCAAGAAAAACAAGAAATTGTGAAAGCACAGTATTTTCCAGTAAACTCAGGAATACTCCATGAAGAGACAACTTCGATACACAACAAAATAGAAATTTGAAGTTTCAAGGTAAAATGACTACCTAGGCAGAATTTGTTATTTTCGATTACGTGTATTTTGGTCTATTTAACTATTTTAATGATAAATTTGTAAATTCTTTTTGCAAAAGTTATTTTTCGTTACCATACCGTAAAATGCATGTATAAATCTAAAATTTATGAAATGTGAAGTGTAAAATACACCCTATTCAGAATGTGTAATTTGTAAATTTCCTTTTAAATAAATTTTATACGTGAATAACGTATTTAACAAACAATACTAGACACGATCAACGATATTAATAGACTAAAATATACAAAAAGAAGTAAAAAATTGAAATGAAGGAGAGAAACATGGAAGAGACAGGGCGGTGGAAGTAAGTGTCGAGGAAGATATAGTAAACAATAATTTTCATTCTCTCCTCAACACGATTCTTGTTAAGAAACATCTTGAAAAGTATCAAGTCATATAGAAGTAAAAATAATATATTTAGTGTGATGTTCTTCACTAGAGCCACCAAGACCCTCTTGCTTGCATCAGCCATTAGAATAAAGTTCTATGTCACTGTCACTAGATGAAGAGATGAGGTTACAAGTTCGTAGTATGTTTATCATAAAAAAATTCAAAGAAATTTTGTCAATATATGACATGACATTATGTTCTTCATCTAAGTCATTATCCATTATTGATTATATTAATGTAGGATAATAAGTCGGTAAACCACTATCTTGCGGATTCATGTTGGAAAGATAAACCTTACATGGAATAAAGACACAAACGATAAAAGCATATAAATGTTTCGACTACTTCACTCCTTATGTTGATCTTCTAAGATTTAACTCCAAGACTCAATAATCAATGCCGTACCAAGGTCCATAATGATCAAACGAGCCATTGGATCACTCTAAAGCTCGAACGAGCAATTAGATTCCAAGATTGACACATTATAATGAAACCCTACATTTTTAATAAAAAAAAGTATATTGGCCCATTAGAGCAAAGTGTAGATATAGTGTAGAAGGTCCCAGATGACAAGCTGCAAGAATTTTAGTGAAGGCTGCTGAGGAAAAGGATAAACATTGAGCAGATTGGCCAGAGTCACCTTATCCCTCCTTGATGGGTAGATTATTCCAACGATTGATGTTAAATAAAACAATATATTAGTTTTTTCATTTTTGTTAAATCGATTTGTCCCGGGTGATATGTCGAGGTGTAGAATAAGAAGGATTGAAACTAAATGCATTTTTTTTCCAAGTCTATGTAGAAAAATGTGAGGCTGCACACTAACAATATAAATCCGTCTCCTGAAATTAGAGAGAAAATTGTCAAATTACTGCATGTGCGACTATAAGTTATGTGAAGGTCGCTTACAATTTTAATATCCACAATGACGCTTTTAGTCATGCAGGAGTCAAAATTCGCAGATTTTAATAGAATTTTAATAGGTTAATGATCAAATTTTAGTTTTAGTTTTTGCTAATTGTACTACTTATTTTCTCAATTTTTTCATCTCGCTCTTATCTTCAACTTTCAATTAATTACAATATCTTATCTCTAATAACTATATACATCCAACAAGTCAGTCGAGTTCACATAAAACAACTTATTTTCCGATCATAGTTTTTTTTAAATAATAAATTCTATAAATGCAAAAGCACGACAATATATTTGTCTCTCATTACAAAGTATGCAAATTGAATGTTTTGACAAAAAGTATCATTAAGGATAAAATGTACTAATTAATTAAAAATTGAAGAATAAGAACTTGACAAGAATTAAGTGCACAATTATTGTAATGAACAAAGATTGAAAAATTAAATGCAATTAAAATATTAGAAACCCCCAGTGACGGATCCAGGAATTTTGTTCAGTGAGGACGGTGGTTGAGCATTAATCGTAAACGATAGTAATAACAAGATCGTTTACTAAAGAAGAGATAGAGGAAGAGGGGGATGACTACAAGAAGAATAATATAATAAATTATCGTTTCATAATCTATTGACAAATCTTGAATCACAAAGCATTATTACGATTTTAATAAATCACAAATTCCAATCTGTAAATAACAAATTATGACAAATCACAAACCCCAAATTACAGTACCAAATCACAAAATCATCCATCAATATATATAAATCACAAATCACCAATATGTAAATCCCAAAATCACCATTCAATCTGTAAAAATCCATAGATTCTCCAATTTTCAAATTTTCCCAATTTTTATAAATTGTACTAATCTAATACAGATATAGTTGGATTGGTGCATTGTGATCTTTAATATAATAAAAATAGAATATTAAATTTGAAAACAAGTAAATAAGATTCAACTCGATCACCTCCACCATTCCCGACGAGGACACCTCTTTTCACACACAAATACATACTAAAAAATTAATTTTTTTTTTTTTGGAGGTACTGAAATTTCATCTTTTGATTGACTTAGCTATACAAAATCTTGAAATTTTGTAGAAGAAAACGTAATTGTCACAACACATTCAAGAAGAGGGAATAAGAATAAGAGATGAGAACTTCAATTGGTTTGCCAAATGGGAAGATGAACTGCCTTCACCCGAACAACTGATGCCCTTATCACAATCCCTAATAAACCTTGATTTAGCTCTTGCCTTTGATATTCAGAATCATCACTACCAGAGCACATCGTCTGCGCAGCTGCTGCAATACACTATTAATGCTTTAGGAGGTCTACAGATAATCACAATCAAGGAATCCACTTGTAGGTCTATGGATATGGACCTTATTTTTTTTTTTATTTTTTTAAAAGTCCAATAGGCTCACAATTTAAAACCACAAAAAAGCACAAACTCGTCTTCATTGTCTTCAAACTTCTCGGCGACTGCAACAATGGTGAATGGGGTTGCTTCCGGCCTGTAAATTCCGACGAAGCCAGCACGAGCGACCGCGCCATCTCACCGGGTGCTGACTCCGCCACTGGACACTCCACCCTAAATACATATTTTTTTGAGTGATTCTTGTGACTTTTGGAACCATTTTTCTAGATTTAAATTTAGTTTCTCAATTTGAATTGAGGAGACTCAACCCGATGAAAAAAGATAAAATCACATATGTTTGGTAAAATACTTACATATTTCGTAGGATCCGTAAATACTACATAATTAATCACCATTAAGTTATGAACCCGTTTGGTAAGTCTTTTGAAAAATTAAAAGTTACTTCTAAAATTAAGAAATAGTTGTTGACATATGGTTGATTCCATCATTAATATTTTGATCATAACAAACAAAATTAATATTATTTCTAACAATTGATTTTGAGTGATGATAGTTTAACATTAAAATCAATCAAATATTGTCAAAATCAACACATCATAAATCAGATTCGAAATGAATATCAAAGTAAAAGTTAAGAATTCAAGTCAAATCATTCAATGAGAGTTTGAAAGATCAAAATCAAGACTATCAAATTGGACTCATGAAGAAGAACAAGATCAAAGTTTAAGAGCCAACATGAAAAAACTTCGAAACAAGATAAAAAA